GTTCTTCTTCCCTTTACAGCTACTGTTACTATCGTTACTAATCTTTGCCTTCTTGTCGCGCGGAGGAACATGAAGGAGATTTGAATCAATGAAGTCTTGAACACGATCTTTGAGGGCGAGACATACTTCAGTGGTGTGACCGTGACCTCTATGGTATCGACAATAGGAACTTGGATCCCAATTGGGAAAACATTTTTTATGTGGAGGGTCTTGGCTGGGACCAATGGAGTGAATAAGACCTTGATCATGAAGACAGTTAAAAGCTTCGTTGTGAGTCATTCCTATTGGTGTGTATTCTTCAATGGTCCATTTTGCCCGTGGCTTAGGAGCATTGAATTCCTCATTAAACCCTTGGCGAGAATTTCGTTCGATGATCATCACCCTTGCTAGTCCTTCTACCACATTCAAGAGCATGGCAACGACATCTTGCAGTTTTCGGACGTCCTCTTTTAGATTTGACGAGTCTTCCCTGGTATTATCTAAGAAAAGACTTTCATCCTCCCCAATCATGGCCACTTCATCGAGAGAGGTTATATAAGTTGTCTCGATCATGGGCTTTCCTACAGGTGTGATAAGAAGTGATAGATCGAAGGATGCTTGATCTTCTTCGATGGCTAGAATCTCGAAAGTTTCATTGTTATCGATCAGTTCTTGGATAGCTTCTTTGAGTTTCCAACACTCAGTGTCGTGACCCTTTCCTTGTGATATTTGCAGTGCTTATAAGGATCCCACTTAGGTGGCCTGGCTTCTGGAACTGGATCTTTGATAGGCCCTATGGGCATGACTAGTCCTTTGTGATGTAGCTTCTCGAAAGCTGTTTCATAACTCATACCAAGTGGAGTGAACACCCTTTTTGACCTTTGGATTCGTGATTTAGAGGTATTGGTAGCATGTACCTCATTAATGGGAGAGGAAGAAGAAGGATGGTCGTTATTCTTTCCTCTCACTCTATTGTCTTTCAGAAGGTCATCTTCAATGTCAATGCCTATGTTATACACAGCCTTGAAAGTATTCAAGTTATGTTGGTATTTTAAGTGCCTTGAATACTTCCCTTGGAGATTCTTGATAAACATCCTCACAAATTCTTTTTCAATAGGAGCCTTGACCATATTAGCGGAAGTTTCCCTCCATTTGATGAAGAAAGAAGTGAACCCTTCGTTTTCTTTTTGTTTTAACATCTCAAGTTGTCTGTGATCTGTTTCATCTTAGATGTTGCACTTATATCTATCTATGAAAGCGTTTTTTATCGACTCCCAAGAAGAGGTTTTCTCTTTCTTGAGAGAAAAGAACCATTGCTGGCAAACGGTCTCAAGAGATAGTGAGAACAGAGAGGGGAAAATCTTCTTATCGATACCCTTAATGTTCATTATAGTTTCAAAAGCTCTTAGATGGAAGTAAGGGTTATCTGTTGCCTTGAATTTAGGGATGTCAGTGGCGTTGAACTTATGCGGAAGAAGTTCCTTGTCCAGCGAGACCCCTTGTGAATCATGCCCTGAAGTTTATAGTCACTAGATAGCTTGCTCAAGCTTTCTTGCATGAGGTTCATTTGTTGTTGCTTCACAGGGTCATCAATTTTGAGGGTTAAAGCCTTTAACACCTCAGTCACGTCATTCAATTGATTCCTAAGTTCATTGACCTTTTCTTGACTTGCCATTATTTTTTTAGCTTTCCTCTTTTGACGAATCGGTTTATCAAAAATCGAGACCTGAACAAAGGTGTTGTCCTTGATTAATCGCCCTTCTCTCCTCGACCAAGTACTGTGGAAAAGGAATTTGGGGATATTCATTGTTAATTATTTGACTCAAACTTTATTCAACATGCAATGGATGGAGGAAGTGAAGAAAGATTGGAATAGAATGTGAAGGAAAATGATGTAGATGGAGGGATATAAAGAATTAGGAATAGAATGTACCCCCAACTCAAATGACGGAAAGACCAACTCATGCATGGACCTAAGACATTGTCATGGTGATGTGTACTCAAAGTGTGTGCCAAGACTAGTGAGTGTAGGTGACATGTTAAGACTCGTGTCATGACCATGTGGCTAAACTATGTGACTAGACTCGATTAATGACTTAATAAGGTATTATTGACAGCGAAAATTAACCGAATTAATTAGCAAACTGGTTAACTAGACACAAGGTGATGACTCGATCAATAATCCGAAATGTCGTCAAAACGACAGGACTGGCACCGCACTGTGTAGCGTAGCGCCAGAAGACAGAGCTGTCGTCAGGCGCCACACTCCACAGAGTGGCGCTACAGTTCAGACTTTGGCGCCAATGCTGGAGCTTCAATCTGGAACTGTTTTCGGTGTTATTAATCAACAGAGTATGCCTAAAGTCGTACTAAGTCAATTCTGGTTAAAAAATATTAGACTTTATTCTTTCAAATTAATTAGGCAAAGTTCTTTAAGTCATTAATTTGTTTAATCTCAACACAAGTCAAACAAACGGTTAAGAAAACATAGTATATGCACAACAAATAATGCACAATTAGTTAAGTGGGCACAATATGATGCAATGAGTTTGCAACCTCTCTATGGCTCTAGTTCTCTAAAGTTCGGGATATGGTTTAGTCAATAGAGGGTCCATGGTTAATTGTCCGGATGCACCGCGCGGAAGCCTAACCGTGAAGGGTTGGCGCGAGTGGATGGGACACCGCGAGTTTAGAAAAAACTCGCTTCCATGGTTTGGTGAATTCAACATTCTTGGATGTACCCTTTGTTTGCTCAGAGCGTTCAATCAGGTAGATAGAGCATGAATTCCCAGAGGGTTATGTCTATATGTAGAACACATATGGGGTTCAGAAAAGTGAGAAAAACTCAATCAGGAAGTAGGATCGAGCAAACAATACGAAAAACTGGTTGAAATTAGAACGCATATTTCTGGCTCGATATTGGAAGAATTTGGCGCCAGCAAACAGAGATTGGCGCCAGGTTTTAGATGTAGCGCCTGGCAACAAGCCTGTCGTCTGGCGCTATAGTTAAATGTCTGGCGCCAATGCTCTGGTCGCTGACGCTAATTCCTACATGCCTCAGTAACTTTCTGTGCTCGATAAAATTTTCTAGTTTCGCGCAGTGTTATTCGGTCCTATTTGTGAAAGGTATTTCTCAAATTTCCTAAGTGTAAAATCCTATGTTTTAACTCATTACGGATGGTCTTTCCAATGAGATCTTTTTTATGCATATGACAATAATGTTAATCAAAATTACGCACATGAAATACTTAGAACTTTTCGACTCTCATCCACTCATTCTACATCGTTGCCGAAACAAATTCAGGAATTAAAATATAAATCGTCCCCAGTGGAGTCGCCAAAAACTGTACGAAATATTTCAAGCATTAACCTCTAGCTTGAACCCCACTGTGATCATACATTAAAGTACGGTGGGGTCCAATGGGAAAGAAGATAGAGCAAAAGAGTCGCCAACAAGTTTTTTAGGAACTTGTAAACCGTTCACGAGGTGAAGGTTACACCCCTTAACGATCCAAGAAATCGTCAACTCCAATAAGGTCTTGAACCAAAATAGGGTTCGGGGATGAAGGTACAAATCCAACCTAAAAGAGATTGAACCTGCCCTAATAATAGACCTCTACTTTATTCTGATCGTTTTCATGTGCACTTTCTGATTAACATGCAATCAATAGGATTAACCTTAAACCTATTTATCTATGTTGGTTAAATATTAATGCACAAATAAACTATTATTGGCGATCACTTGAATTATAATCAAATTAACCCTAAATAAGATTATTAATCATCTTATTAAGCGTGATTACAAGTACAAATTCCCTTTAAACATGCATAAAAAGATGTGATCAAGCAATAACAATAAATTTAATCAAGCAACATAATATATAATCATCATAATAATAATTATATTCATAAAATTATAATAATAATAATATTCATAACCATAATCATAAATCATAAAAATAATCATAAATCATGTTAAAGCATAATAATAGCAAGATCCTAGGCATGATACTAACAAGATTAATAACAAACCCTAGCATGTCACTAAACATCAAAGATCAAATATTTAACCCTACCATGATACTAACTATCATAAATATTAGGAAGAAAATAGAAGGCATCATAACAATCATACTTGATATTTGTTGACACCCATTTGTGTCTCCCCAAAACCAAACCCAGTGATGAGTATCTTTCGTGTCGAATCATAATCGAATGAAGTGAAAGTGTTGAAAGTTTAATGTTGCGGATAGTTTTAATTTCTTTTCTCTTCTCTCTGTTTTGCAAAACTTATTTTAAGAAAACAGTCAATCCAGTTTGGTTGGTCCATGATATGAGTCCTATAGTAGTGTAGTTGGATAGGACTTGACAGGAGCTTTCCAACGATATATTATAAGCCCAATTCCGATGAATATTGAGGAAGTTATGGCCAATTTACTAAACTGGGCCCGGTTTGAGCCTTATATGCGGCCCAATGATCTAGGGGAGGGCTTAATATGGATTTATCATTCCTAATGCAATTAGGAATGGTTTTAGTCCACTACAAGAAAAAGGGGAATTAGCAACTGATTTTTGCGACTGGCATAATAATTAGTCGCAAAAATAATTTTGTGGCTAAAAAAGATGAGCAGTCACTAATTTTGCAACTGATTTTGCAGTAGTTGTTATGCGGTCGCTAATTAGCAACTAATATTTGCGACTACCATAATAATTAGTTGCAAAAATTATTTTTGTGTCTGCAAAAAACGAGTTGTCGCAAATTTTGCAACATATTTTGTAATAGTTGCTATGCAGTCGCTAATCTGCAACATTCCTATAACTTTTTGCAACTAAATTGCAGTTGCTAAGGCTAAAAAATTTGAAACAATTTTTTAAAAAATTTGCGACTAATATTGCAACTAACATGGTAGTTGCTACTTATTTTTTTAAAAATTTATTAAAAAGGAATTAAAACCCTTAATATATAATAAGTTATTTTTTTTATTTTTTATTTTTTTTGGTACGAAAATATAAAAACCCTTAGTAGAAAAGTAAGGAAACAAGTACTACGTAGTATAATGAGTTGTTGCCGCCAAAAAAACACAATAAACAATTATATCACTCCTTCCTAAAAAAACATAAAATTATATCACTCCTTATTTTCGTGCTACTCGATACTCTTCATCCTCACCAAAAGAAACAAAAACCGAAGGGAAAACGAAAGCCAGAACAGTTCAATTCAGAACTTCAGATCAAACCATCGTCGTCCTCATCTGTCGCCGTTGCGCCATCCATCTCCTCCCCGGTTAGTTACGCATGCTTCCTCTTCCTACCGTCCATTCAATCTTTCTCATATTGCAATTTGCTAATTGCAATTTAGGGTTATCAATGAGTATTTTGCCCAATTTTTTTTAATTTTAGTCTAGTTTCGTTTGCAAATCGCGAACTGATTATAAATTTCGAATTGATTAAATTGCGAATTGAATGAGTTGTGAATTGATTGAATTGAATTTAATCTGGTTTATTGCGAATTGATTGAATTGATTTTGTTTGGCTGCCAATTGCGAATTTTTGGGTTATTTTTGAGGTCAATTATTGTAAAACCATTCAAACATGATTTATTATTCAAAAAGCCCTAATTATTACTAATTTCTTTATGACTGATTTCATTTGCCCTGAGATTTGCAAGGTCTGGATAAGTTTGAATTCTCTGTACAATTTTCAGAAAATGAAAGAATAATTAAGTGAAGGATATATGCATTTTTACATTGTAATTAAGGATAGAAATGACAATGATAAAAAGGAAATGTAAAAAGTGATCATGTTTAGTTGTATATTTACCTTGAAATCTTCATATTAAACTGCTGGCACATTGACTAATCATGTCATTGATGATTAGCATTGTCTATTTCAAACATGCTTGTATATTTTATGACATTTTGCAGCTTCTGTGTGATTAAAAGGGTATTTGGTTGCCTCAATGGCATATATCCCAAACAGTTCTTTTATTCAAGTTCTTGTAGTTATTATAATGTGTACTATTTTGTTTACTTCCTCAATAATGTCATGGGTGCATCATTTATATTTGTTTCAGATGGAATTGGAAAACGTTTCTAATTCAATATCAAAGATGTGTATGTGTTTCTCCTTGGTTCTGCTAATGAGTGATTTTATTGGCCAGACTTTGAACTTACTTTTCTAATAGGGAGATTTGGCCCTATATTATCGATTAAAAATGACTGAAGTCTCTATCACATAATGGTAACAATATAAACAATTTGATGTGGTTTTGTAGTTTCTTTCGAGGCTAAAGTCAATAATTTGTCTATTTATACCCCAAGCTTCTGAAAAATGAAGTCTGCCCAACTTCTTATTTACTGATCAATTTCACTTGTTCTATGAGAATACATTTCATGTCAGGATTTACTGTCTTTAGTCAAAGAGGATCTTTGTGGGGGAAGGGAATGGGGTTGAGGTGGATTAGGTTTATCACCTGCTTAATTGCTTCAATGTTACTTTGTCATGAATTTCTCAAAGCCTTAATATATGTTTAGAATTTAAGACATTCTCTTATATTCATTGCTCTTAAACTAGTGAAGTTGCATATTTCAATATTAGCTTTGAGTCTCTAATTATGTGCAGCGTACATATACTTGGAGACCCGAGTTCGATGCTAAGGCTAGGAGAGAATTTGACAAAAATTAGGGGACCGACTTAGGGGTACATTGAACCAAGTTTACAAAATGGCTCTCCATAAGCAAGTTAGTTTCATGACTGACACTGTTCGAGCTGAATTCATAAATAAGCGTAAGCATCCTGATTTTGTGAAACGTTTTAACCAAGCAAGAGATAATCGGTTATTTGGCCAAACATTAGAGAAGTTTGACCCTGGCCATCGCCAAGGTAGTGTATCTACTTCTCAAGTGGTTAAAAAATTGGTAAGTGTATGATTTTATTAGCAGCAAACTTATGATTTTTAATATAAGATTGAAGCTAGTAGAAAATGTTTAGCCACTAATAGAGATGATTATAACTGCTCTTTATTACAATTGCTCTGTAGTCTATGTCCCCCTATTTTTTGTTGTTTTTTAGTGCCAACAACTTCTAATACAAGGCAAAGAAAAAGGATGGAATTTTACCAACTGCTGCTGAAGTCTATGAGAGCACTCATTCTGTTTGTGTGGGCAATGATGAAGTTTAATTGATGAGTGACAAGTCTCAAAAAGTCATGGTATGAGTATACTTCTATATTTTTCTAAGATTACAAAAAAAAATATATGGTAGTTAATGTTTGGAAATATTATAGATTGTTTATTTGTTTGTGTGATTGAGTTGGAGGATGAGAATGATTTGCCGGCATTAATCAGATGATTAATGTGGTATGGCATAATGTGAATTGAAACAGGTTAATTTTGAAGCCATACCCTATAGGAGGGAATTCTTCAATTTACAAAGGAGACTCTATCAAAATTTTTACTAATAACTGCTTACATAAATTATTTTGCTATAAGTGTTGCATTTTTTTATTTTTTTAAAAACAACTATAATAAATATACCCCTGATCCTCTCTTCCCCAATAGTTGTACCTTTGTAATCTGGAACATCTATTAAGAGCTAAAATGACACTTTTACCCCTGATCCTCACATTCAGGAATTTCCAAACTATCACCACCCACCCTCAAATGAGTTTGACTACCCAACGATAAACACCCTGTGCCAGAATATGGAAACCACCACCATCACCATTCCATCACTTGACTTAGCTGCATCATCACTTATCCACCTGCCTATAGATCTAGATGCTCAATGCAAATCCTGCTTGGACCCTCACTGCCACAGTGCCACTGATACCATTTGCTTTGACCCTCACTGCCATTAATACTATTTGCTTAGACCCTCACCTAACTTTTCACAAATAGATTTTGTAACCAAACTCAATTACATATGAAACACTCATCGAACACGGGCAGGTCTTAGTCTCTTGCCATTTGTTGCATAGCTCAGTCTTGAACATGCCTTGATTGTAAACTTCTAGCTCAATTGGTCCCTTTTTGTTGCTCCCTCCTCGCACATATACCTTTTGCTGCACACAGAACAAGTTAAGCAAATTATTGCAATCCTCGTGAGATCTATAAGATAATGCAGGAATTAGAATTTTACATAAATCAGATGGTATCTAAAGGCAAGTGTTTTACTGCTATGTACTGATTTGATGTCCAAAATGAAAGACTGTATAAGATAATAATTGATAATCTAAGAAGATAAACGGGCCAAACAACTCAATGATACCAAGCCAAAATGAGAAGTAGAATTGACATCCAGTGAGAAGACTGAGAACCTCAGATTTACTCTTATCCCAAAAACAGCAAACTACTACTACACATTAAAGCTTTTTAGCAAGCCTTAAAATCAAACTGAAGATCTTTAGCATGCCAATTAATCACCAGACTTACTATGTTCTTTCTTATATCCAAAATTATGAACCTAGTTAGTGAAATCCTGCAATTACTTGACAAAATGAGAGGCAGAATTGAAATCCAGTTAGAACTTCAGAAATACTCTTATCCCAACAACAACAAATTACAACTATGCATTAAAGATTTTTGGTGAGTCTTGAAATCAAACTGAAGATCTTCAGCATGCTAATTAATCACCAGACTTACTATATTCTTTCTTATAACTAAAATTATCAATTTAGTTTAGTGAAATCATACAACTAAACTAAATTGATGATGTGTCTAGGTACTCTGACTGTACTTGTATTCATGTTCTTGCATCATTGATGGGTAATACTTTATTAGCTGCTCTAAAGCAATTAAATTAAATCTTGTTTTAGAAGTCCAAACTAGTTTTTGGCCCGGACGATGTCCCGAGTCATTGCTTGTATTTTTATTATAGTTGTTTTTTAAATGTATTTAGTTTATTTAAGTTTTAACATTTGAGATCATAGTTACTAATACATATATTAATGCAGGGAGAATATATGGAAAAACTTGAGGAATATAAGAACAAAGGAATTGAGATAAACCCCGACAAAGTCTACTTGGAGGTTTTAGGTGGGAAAAAGAAAGGAAAAGTCTACGGTTTAGGGAGTGCTTCACAAATGTATTACAAGAGCGATCTTACTTCTCAATCTACTGCATCATCTTCCACTCCTTCCATGATTTCTCAATTAAGTTCTCCAGTTGAAGAACTAAAGAAGACGGCGGAAGAAAACCATAACAAGGTAGAAGAAAGCCAAAAAATAGCGTCAGAGAGATTAAAATATGCTAAGGAATTCGTCGAAAATCATGAGATTGAAAAAGCTACATGGAAGAAGGAAAAATTAGCTATGCAAAAAACATTCAAGGAAATGGCATCACTTGTAAAATAAGATTATCGTACTTATAAGCCTCCTACGCCTGCAGTCACCCGCTCTCGTGATACAACTAAGTGAATTTTATTTTCTTGGTGGTAATTTTATGAACAGCTGGTCTTTTACATTGTTATTAGTTCTTATTTAAAGTAGTTTTTTTTATATGGGAGGTGACTTTTGAAACAATTAGTTATATGAGTTAAATATTGTTTTTAATACAGTGATACAAAATTGATGATATTTTGGATATTTGAATAAAATTAACATTTTGGTTATTTGAATTTATGCGTGGTTACCTTTTTTGTTTTGTGATTAATATTGGTCATCGCTTAATTATGGTCTCAAATATTAATAGTTAGTCGCAAATATTTAGCGACTGCAAATTTGGTTTAGAGACTAATTGGTTAGTTGCAAAAACATTAGTCTCAGTAGTCGCTAATCTGTCACAAATAATTAGTTTTGTAGTCGCAAAAGTTTGGTCTCGTAAGTAGTTGCTAATCCGCCGCAAAAAACATTAGTCTCAATAGTCGCAAATCCGTCACAATAAAACTAGTCTCCGTAGTCGCAAAATTTAGTCTCGTAGTCGATAAAGTTTGGTCTTGCAGTCGCTAATCCGTCGCAAAAGTAGTCTTAAAACATTGATCTCTGTAGTTGCTAATCCCTTGCAAATATATTACGACGGGCAATAATTTAGTTGCTAAAATTTGAAAGTTAGTCGCTAAATGGTAGTTGCAAAGGCATTGCAAATCCGTGGCTAAATTTGCGACTGTTAAAAAAGTAGTCGCAAAAATGGATTTGCGACTACTTTGGCTGTCGCTAATTACCCTTTTTCTTGTAGTGGTCTTCTAGATTCTTCTAGAAGGTTCTTTTCATTCCTAATTCAATTAGCATTGATAAATTGACTTTTGTTGACTTTTCAGAGTTTTAATTAAAATCAAAGAGCATTTTTGAGGAAAATACGATTTTATCCTCCTGTACGGTAATTTTTATCTGATTTTAAGAGAACGCGTGATAATCTAAATCAGCGCCAAATGCCAGCTGTAGCGCCTGGCGCTACGCTTGGTGCCTGGCGCCAGCTTTGGCGCTTGGCGCTGATGTTGGCGCTGGTTCATTTTTACGTACGCCAGACTCTGTTTTGATATTTTATCTTTTTGGCTGATTTTCTCTATAAATAACGTCGTAAAAACTCCGTTTTCATTCACCAACTCTCATCAAGATTCTCTTGATTACTCTCTCTCTGTCTCTCTCTCTTTTTCTAAACTAGCTTATCTCAAATACAAAATTTTGCATTCATTAGATTTAGATACACCTAGCCATATTCGAAGTTTCCTTCGCCCTAGACGTGAAAGGTTTAATTTCTGAGGGTTTGGTCCCAAATCTCTCTTTCCATTATTTAATTTAATTGTTGTTTATTATTTTCCTTGAAGTTACTAACGTTGATCCGTGCCATTTATGGCACCTTTAGGCTATGTTTTATTTATATTTCTATGCTCCTTTGTAGTCGTTTATGTCGTGTTTATAGAGAATAATGCTCGATTCGCGTGTTTTTGTGTTAGTTTAGAGAAATGCATGCTTTTAATGGCTTTCTTATCATTTTATTCATTTCTCGGCTACTTCTCTTGCTTCTCCGTTTCTTTGTCTTGTTTTGTAGGTACGTCGCGGGCTATATGCATGGGAATTGAAAATAGCACCCACTAGGATCAATATGCACTTTTCGGAATTGAATTTGAGTTTGAAACAAAGGAAAACGAAGGATTGCAAAGTATCAAATAGGACCTTTGTGCATTGTTTTAGTCATATCTCCAGTTCTACAGATCGGATTAGGGTGATTTAAGTTGGGTTGGAAACTAGACTTGAGGATCTTTCCAATGATAGGTCGCACGCCTTCATACAAATCTTAGATTGGAAGTGATAGCCTTCTGAAGTTGGCCCTGGAAAACTGCCGCGGGCGCGGGCTACAGTACTCGCGGGCGCGGGGTTGCTGCAGCTCCAAAACTGCCGTATTTGGGCAGTAAGCACCCGCGGTTGTCCCGAGGGCTCCCCGAGGGCGCGGACCTTGGCCCCACGGGCGCGGGCTTGTGAGCCGCAGGCACGGCTATCGGGGTGTCTGTTCCCCTCCGCGGGCGCAACCGATTTCTCCGCAGGCGCGGGTTTCTGGGTCTTTTACGATTTTAAGCTTCTTTTCTCCTTTTTTTTTATATAGTTTTTGGTTTTCCTTTATTCTTCATTCATGTAATTCTTTAGTTTTAGAATAGTTTTCTCTCTCTTAGGTTGAGAGCTTCTCTCTCTAGATTAGGCTAGATTAGGAGTAGTTTAAGAGAGAGAAAGTGAGGAATTTCAATGGTGATTGAGAGATTGAAGATGCAAGTGTGAAAATTGTGTTGGAGATCTTCTTAATTATCAATGAGCATTTCTAAACTCTATCTCATTCAATTGCTTTGTTTAATTTGATGTTTGTTTGGTTTAATTTTGATGTTTGATGCTTGATTAGTGTAATTGTTCTTGGTATTTTGTTGATTCTTGATTTCCATAGTTGTTAGTTGATAGATGATGATTCTTGAATAGTTGTTTGGCTAGGAATTGGGTGAAACTTGTATGATTGATTAATTGTGATTAATTTGGGAATTATGTTGATTAATTGTTGAGATTAAAGTGATTCGTGAAGGTTTGCATGTGTGTAATTCAATTTGGCCTTGAGAATTATGCTAGATTGCATTGTAATTGCTAATGACATGAACAATTGATCTAGGAATTGCAATTATCAATTGGTTTTGATTGTGATTCTCTTAGTTTGTTATTCATAGTGAACCCTAGCTTAACAATTAGGAGATAGCTCTTTGATTCCTATTGATTGCTCTTATCATTTAGTCCTCACAAACTTTGATTGGCATGCTCTTCCCAAGTTGTTGCAATTGACATGATTACTTGTTGATCCCCGTTCCTAGTGTTTTATTTCCTTGGTTACTTGTTTTGTTAGTTGTTAGTATTCTCTCTTACCTTCGTCTTCGACCTAGCTTAGGCGCATAATTGAAAGTGCTTGAACATTACCGTTCCTTTGGGTTCGACCCTTGACTTGCCTCTATACTCGTATTAGGGTTTGTTAAGTGTTTATAAATTTAGTTTGACCGAGGGAAGATTAGATAACGACCTAGTTTTCCCCTCGTCAAACGTGTGTATTTTGTTATTAGAAAGAGGTACGAGGCATCAAAGTAAGTACTTTAATGGTTTTTAATTGATGTTATGATATAGAGTTCATGTTTAGATTGTTATTATGATATTCCTAGTATCATGTCTAGGGTAATTTTAATATCAAGTATGATTAAAAGTATGATGCTTCCTATGTTCTTCCTAATATTTATGATTATTAGTATCATGTTAAGGTTAAAGCTTTGATTTTTATTGCTTAGTGACATGCTAGGGTTTGTTATTAATCTTGTTAGTATCATGCCTAGGATCTTGCTATTATTATGCTCTAAGATGATTATTATAATTATTATGATTATTATGATTATTTATTATGTTGCGTGATTTTTATTGTTATTGCTTGATCACACCTTTTATGTGTGTTTAAAGGGAATTTGTACTTGTAATCACGCTTAATAAGATATTTGATAATCTTGTTTAGGGTTAATTTGATTATAATTCAAGTGATCGCCAATAATAGATTTATTTGTGCATTAAATTCAATTAACATAGATAGACATGTTTAGGGTAAACCTATTGATTGCATGTTAGTCAAAAAGCGCACATGAATACGATCAGAATAAAGTAGGGCCTATTATTAGGGCAGGTTCAATCTCTTTTAGGTTGGATTTGTACCTTCATCCCCGAACCTTTATTTAGTTCAAGACCTTATGGAGTTGACGATCTCTTGGATCGTTAAGGGGTGTTACCTTCACCCTATGAACGGTTTACAAGTTCCTAAAAAACTTGTTGGCGACTTTTTTGCTCTATATTCTTCCCTTTTGGACGCCACCGTACTTTAGTGTATGATCACAGTGGGGTTCAAGCTAGGGGATTAACGCTTGAAATTATTCCCTACAGTTTTTTGGCGACTCCACTAGGGAGGATTTCTATTTTAATTCCTGAATTTTTTTCGGCAATGATTTAGAATGAGTGGATGAGACTCGAAACATTCTAAGTATTTCATGTGCGTAATTTTGATTAACATTATTGTCATATGTATAAAAAAGATCTCATTGAAAAGACCATCCGTAATGAGTTAAAAATATAGGATTTTACACGTAGGAAATTTGAGAAATATCTTTCACAACTAGGACCGAAATAACACTGCGCGAAACTGGAAAATTTTATCGAGCACAGAAAGCTGCTGAGGCATGTAGGAATTAGCGCCAGGGGCCAGAGCATTGGCGCTAGAGTTTTAATTGTAGCGCCAGACGCCATCATTGGCGCCAGGCGCTACAGCTAAAACTTGGCGCCAAGCTCTGTTTGCTGGCGCCAAATTCTTCCAATACCGAGCCAGAAATATGCGTTCTAATTTCGACCAGTTTTTCGTATTGTTTGCTCCATCCTACTTTCTGATTGAGTTTTTCTCACTTTTATGAAACCTATCTGTGTTCTACATATGGACATAACCCTCTGGGAATTCATGCTCCATCTACATGATTGAACGCTCTGTGCAACAAAGGGTACATCCGAGAATGTTGAATTCACCAAACCATGGAAGCGAGTTTTTCTAAAACTCGCGGTGTCCCATCCACTCGCGCCAACCCTTCACGGTTAGGCTTCCGCGTGGTGCATCCGGACAATTAACCATGGACCCTCTATTGACTAAACCATATCCCGAACTTTAGAGAACTAGATCCATGGTTAGGTTGCAAACTCATTGCATCATATTGTGCCTGCTTGACTAATTGTGCATTATTTGTTGTGCATATACGATGATTCCTTAACCGTTTGTTTGACTTGTGTTGAGATTAAATAAATTAATGACTAAAAGAACTTTGCCTGATTAATTAATTAATTTGAGTAAATAAAGTCTAATATTTTAATCAGAATTGACCTAGTACGACTTTAGGCATACCCCTGTTGATTAATAACACCGAAAACAGTCCCAGATTGAAGCTCCAGCATTGGCGCCAAGTCTGACTGTAGCGCCACTCTGTGGAGTGTGGCACCTGGCGACAACTCTATCGTTTGGCGTTACACTACACAGTGCGACGCCAGTCATGTCGTTTTGCCGACAGTTCGGATTATTGGTCGAGTCATCACCTAGTGTCTAATTAACCAGTTTGATAATTAATTCGGTTAATTTTCGCTATCAA